ATATCACTCTAACCCTACAGGTGGGAGATGCACCATCTGGTGACCTGCTGCAGCCACTGAAGACCGTGGAGATGGTCGTGGACTTCAGGAAGAGCCCAGCTCCACCCTCCCCCATCATCCTGTGTGACTCCCCAGTCACCACTGTGGACTCCTTCCGCTTCCTGGGCACCATCATCTCCCAGGACCTCAGGTGGGAGCTGAACATCACCTCCCTCACCAAGAAGGCCCAGCAGAGGATGTACTTCCTGCTGCAGCTGAAGAAGTTCAGCCTGTCAAAGACAATGATGGTGCACTTCTACACCGCCATCATCGAGTCCATCCTCACCTCCTCCATCACCATCTGCTGCTTTGTGTGGAATTTTTATATCTTGTCAGTTTAAATATTAATATCATCTGTTTATTCCATACTTCTATATTTATTTATGTCAGCTGTATGTCTGTCTGTCTGCAGCACCTCATCACCACAGCAAATTCCTCGTATGTGGAAAACACTACTTTGCAATAAAGCTGCTTCTGATTCTGATTCTAAAGAGATTGGGGAAACAAATACTGAACCGAACAGAAAAAGACATTTAAAAGTACACTAAGTGAATACTTTTGAGCCATATGTTAAGCAGCAATGCACAGTATAAAAGTCCTTCATTCAGAAGTATTACATGCATTATGTACGAGTCAGATGTGAACACACAAAAAAAAAGAGATGAAACCAGTTTCAAGTTGCTCTCAGTTTTACACCAGAAGAATTTACAGGAAGACAGAACTGTCTTTCCTTGAGGCAGGTGGTTGAGTTCTGCATGTTCAGCAGGAGTTCTGATGTCTAGATGCACATGTTGGAGCACTGTGTGTGTTTTAAAATGTTAATATCTCATTTGTCATCAGCCGGTGTTTCAGCGATCTCAATGTTGGATGAAAGAAGTGTTCTTGCTGTCGGGGGTTGGGGGCATCGGGTGCGGCTCTGTCCTGTGTGCATGCTGTGCATCCTGATAATTGCATTTCGGTTCTCTGAGGGGTCTGGCGACTGGTTGTTGGAGGGGTGGGGGACCGTGAAGAAGAAGGGGTTGACGGGGTGGGTTGGGGGTGCGGGCTAGTCCTTTTTGAGCTGGTTGGGGGGTGTCTCCTCTGGATTTTAGTGCCCGGACTGGATGCTTGGTGGTTGTGTATGGAGGGATTGTGCTTTGGGGTGTGTCGATGGTTGCTTCGCAGTCGCGTCGCGGCCCTCTGGCCTGACCTGGCCTGAGTGGCATTGCCTCCTGGGTGTGGGCCGACCTTCGGGTCTGGGCGGTTGGGCCGTTCTGTCCTTGGGCGGGGTCCTTGCTGTTCCGGACCTGCTCCCTTGTAGTGGGGGGGGGGTTGTGTGCCAGCTCCGATGGCCTGGTGGTGCTCGGTGGACTGCTCCTGATTATGGGGGAGCGGTGAGGTGGGGGGGTGGCAGTGGGGCTGCCGGAGGGGCCCCGGCGAGGACGGGGGATTGTTGGACTTTGGGTTGGGGCTGCACTGACCTGCCTCGGGAGTGTGTGGGGGTCTGGGGCACGGGGCTTTGGGGCCTCTGGGTTTGGGGCGGGTCTGCGCGCTGGGGGGGCTGGGCCCCCCTGGGCCCGTCCTGGGGATGGGCGGGGTTGTCGCTGACTCTGGGGTGCTGCCGGTGCTAGAGGGGCTCTTGCTATAAGCCCTGGGCTGGAGGGACCTGACGTCCTCCTGCTTAGGGGGGTGGGGGACGGGACGGAATAAATGATGGGGCCAGTCAGGAATCTGGTCTTCTAGCCTCCCTATGATCTCCTTCACCTTTCCCCCTTTGGTCATGTCTCACAACATACACCCTTAGGATCCTGGGGGGCGGGCAGCCTGCAGGGCGTTTGGGGGGTGGGGCTGCTTTATTGCGGCCTCGCACTTCTTCCTCCCTCACTGCCTGCCCCTCAATTTTAATTATATTCATATAAATCCTCTCCTCTGTAATATGTGTGGAAAACACACATCTGGAGTAAAGTGCATGTAACTAACTGCCACGTTGTTTTGTTTTTCTTAGTTAGATTTATTTTGTAACTTGCATCTGTTTATTGCATATTTAAATATTTATGTGAACTGTATGTTTATGTCTGTGTTTGGCACCTACAGCGATTTAGATGTGAAACACTTTGTAACATGGTTTTATTATTTCATAATTATTAGTAGTGTCCTCTTTGAATGAACAAACTTTTTGTCTTTTATCGACAGGTGAGTCTCTTCTACCTGCTTCTTTAGTCGGACCATCCTCGTGACGTCATAGCAAACAAACATGGCGGGCCGCTGGCGGCTCTGTAGAGAAGGGTCTGTACGTGACGGAAGTTGAACTTCCATATATGGTTTGTCCCAGAAGGCACCGCGAACAAAACATGATGACGTTTATCTCGGGCGCTTGGCCCACGCGTAGGTCAAGTGTCGTTACGTTAATATTTACTATAATTATATATATATATATTATATAATAATAATGTAATATGTTAATACTATAATTAATGTTAATTATAATGCCTAATGATAATAATAAAGCAATGTTTCAATTCCTAACACTGTTGTTTATTTTATTTTGATTTTAAGTTTCACGAACCAAGAATATTCTGTAAGGTTACATCACGAGCCAGATGTGTGGATTTAGGTTCAAACTTTACAGCATTACTGAGAATTTAATTTAATTTAATAACAGCGGTACGAACTGCTGGACCCTTCTCGCCGTGCTGGCTGCAGTGGTCTGTGTGAGCGGAGCTGGCTAACTATTCCCCCTGAAGTACATTACCCTAACCCTAACCACCACAGGGTGCCTGCCTAAAGTTACTGACTGTCTGCATGTTACTGGTTTACCCTACAGCGGCGCACGTCGGCCGCCAAGTCCCTGATGCTGCATCCAGAGCTCCTCCTGGGTCTGCACCATCTACCTAAACTCCATAAGCCCAGCCTACGTTCCTTCTGGGCCACTGCGCTCCTCCAACGAACGCCGCCTGGCTCTGCCTCCCTTCACACAAAGCGACCTCAGTCCCTGTTCTCATCTGTGACCCCACGATGGTGGAACGAGCTGCCGCACGCCATCAGAGCAGGGGCGTCCCTCTCTGGCCCAATCCCAGCGTCCCCCCTCACAGACTCACAGACTTTGAGGCGCGTTCCCGCGAAGTCCGTGAGAGCTCGGGGCCTCTCGCGGACATTTTGAGCCCTTTTTAGAGCCTTTTCGTAAGTCCGCATTTCCGCAGACTCTGGCTGAGAGAACTACCCACACATTAGCAGATTAATTACAAATACATATTGACATTTAGCTCTCCTCCACTCTGCAGGGCGAGAGCCTGCAGGACTTAAAAATAAGGCAAAAACATCAAATAAAAAGTGTGCAACGTGTTTCAGCGTCGTCAAGGTAACGTGATAAAGTGGTAAAGTGCTGTCCCGTTACTGTTCACAGCATTTTGAGCCCTCACAGCTTCTGACTCTGACTCCAAGAAGCTCCTGAACACTCTGCAGAGAACACTTCCTCTGATAACACCTCTGACATCACTTCCTGTGCTCTTCTTCTTCTACCCCCTACAATTATCTAGTATTGATTGCACTTTTTGTTACCTCTCACTTCCTTCCCTCAGTATTTACCCCACTGATGACATGTGCCGTTAGCTCTTACTAGTCTGTACTGTCAGCTGTAGATCTGCTGATGCTTGTATGTTGTTCCTCAGATGAAAGTAAATGTCTGTGTCTCCCTCTTAACGCCGTGGTTGATTGCGGAACACAGGTCAGGTGCGCTGATGAAGGTGCGTCTCAGGTGTGCGCAGCAGACACGCCCCCAAGCTCCCAGCACGCGCTCCACACGTACGTCACCCACACCAAAAACTGCCGATACTCGAAATCTACACAGTTGATTTTTCGCCTCAAACCTTCTCAGAGGTGGATTTAAAGTTCTGTTTTTGGCTCTAAAGAATAAAACGCTTTGCATTAGGATCCATACTGTACGTGAGCCGAGAGTAACGTCATCACGTTGTGTGCGCGGTGTCTTCTGGGACAAACCATAGTTGGAGGTTCAGCTGCCAAAAAGAAGAACAAAGGGCAGGAAGAAAGTGGAAGAGCTGTAAAAGAACGAAACAAAGCCTTTAAAACATTAAAGAAGAATTTATCACAAGAGAGTGTTTTTGGATTTTCAAAGGAAAAGGGCAGCGGCACGTAGGACAATTAAGTTAACCAAAAGAAAAACCGGAGAGAGTTCTGTTCCACCACAGGTAGAGGAGTAGAGTTAGGGGATATATGGTCTATGTTTAAAAGAATGAGTGGGAAAAGGAAAGCGATTAAAATCCCAGCTTTGATAGATGGAGGAAAGACGGTGGCAGAGATGTTGGGTAGGGCTTTTACCTTATGGACATTCATAAGCAACAGAAAGACCTGGCACTGAAGAGGGAGGATGGTACAACAACTTTAGATGTGGATTTTACAATAACAGAACTCAATATAGCTCTGCTTGGCACGGGATATACAGCCCCAGGACAAGACCAGTTATGTTATGTTCTGACAGCTGCCAGCAGGGTCAAATAAGCTAGTGTTCAATAAAATATGGAAGGATGCAATAATACAGAGAAGTTGGAAAAGTGCAGTTATACTACCGTTTAGCAAACCTGGTAATTATAGACCCATAGCTCTGACATCACACTTATGCAAATGGATGGAGAGGATAATAGTTCGTAGGTTATCACATGTAATGGAACAGAGAGGACTACTGAGTAATATACAAAATGGATTTCGGAAAGGTGCTCCACAACAGATGCTCTCGTTAGAGTAATGAGGTAGAAAAGGCACTGAAAATGAAAGAGCTGATGATAACAGTGTATTTTGACATTGAGAAGGCATATGATACTATGTGGAGGGAAGGACTACTTATTAAACTAAATAGAATGGGTTTAAGGAAGGATTTATAACTGGATACTAGACTTTTTAACAGATAGGAAAATTAGAGTAAAGGTTGGATCAGAAGAGAGTTTAAGGTAAATAATTCCCCAGGGGAGCGCAATTAGCCCTATATTATTCAATATTATGATTAATGATATATTTTCAGATTTAGATGGACACATCAAATCAGCGTTATATGCAGATGATGGGGCCGTATGGATGAGAGGAAGAAACGAGACATATGTGTTAGAGAACATTAGGAAAGCAATAGAGAAAGTAGAGAAGTGGGGATTTAAAATATCAGCAAGCAAATCCTGTTATATGGTGTTCACAAACAAGCAAAGTGTCATGTAGAAAAGCTTTTTCTATATCAGCAGCCAATGGAAAAAGTAAATGAATTTAAGTATTTGGGATTGTGGTTTGATAGTAAAGACACATGGAAAACACACATAAAGCAATTGGAAACTAAATGCAAACAAGTTATTAATTTACTGAGAGCGGTGGCGGGATGCGACTGGGGTGCAGATAAACACTAATTGACATATATAGAGCATGCATGAGGTCATCACTAGATTATGGTTGCATAGTATATGATGCAGCAGCAAAAACAACATTGGAAAAAATTTATAAATTACAATACAGAGCCTTACGGATATGCATTGGAGCCATTAAGACAACTCCCATTAACACAATACTCATAGAAGCTGGAGAGACACCACTGGAGTTAAGAAGAGAGAAACTAGCGCGAGCATATTGGGTCAGACTGAAAGGAAGTGGGAAAGAAAACCCTGCAAAGGAGATAACAAAGGATTGTTGGGAATATTTCAAGTTTCGGGGGCATGGGTTTGGATGGACGGGGGAAAAGAGAGTCAGGGAATACAGAATGGAAGCATTAGATTTCACCACACCCGATTCAGTCAGTAACATTCAACCTTGGCTCTATCCAGACGTAAAAACAGATTTTAGTATCCTGGAAAAGAAAAGAGGAAGTGGGAATACGGACTAGCAGCTATCTGAGAAACAGTTTCCATAATTATCTAAAAATCTATACAGATGGATCTGAAAACAAACAGGAATGTGTGGGAATTGGAATAGATATACCAGAATTCAAAATAAATATCTCAAAACGATTATCAGATAGGCTATCTGTATGTATGTCATTATAGCATTACAGTGGGTTGAAGAGGTCAGACCTGACAGGGTGATATTATGCACAGACTCCTTAGCGAAAGGAGCAGACGGGAGGAAATTATTATGACAAGACTAAGAGTAGATCACACAGGACTGAATGGCACCTTGGTTTTATTGGGGAAAAGGAATAATGAAAAGTCTGAAAACTGTGGGGTTAAAGAAAATGTTGAACATGTCATTTTGCACTGCATATTGTTTGAGTTGGAAAGACAGATGTTTCAAGACAGGGTTCAGGAAGCAGGGCGGGACTGGAATCTGATGGGGGTGTTGGGAACAGAAGGAGAAGAAAAGGGTGTAAGAATCACCAGGAAGGCATTATTTAAATTTCTTAAAGACACTGGGCTGGTGAGCAGAATATGAGAGCTCCTTATTGAGGTTGACAGCTGAGTGATATGATGTTACACACTCAGTACAGCAGGGGGCGGTGTGCACTTAAAAGATGTTTGCAATCCGCCATTAAAGAAGAAGAAGAAGAAGAAGCAGCTGGATGTACCTCGCTCTGCAGCTTTCAGCCCGTTTAACATAACGCGTCTATTTAAAACTTCTTCCCGCGCCTGAATAAGTATTTTATAAAACACGCAACTCTGCGTTTCTGTCGGGCTCACGTAACGCGTCACCAGCACCTTTAAAAAACGTGAAAACGTGTTGAATTTGACGTTTTAACCGGTAGGTTACCAAGGCAACGTTAGCCAACAGTTAGCTAGCTGTTAGCTCAGTTCAGGGTTTCTCGTTGTTTTCTGTCCTAAAAGTTGATGTTTCTGTACAAAAGGTTGAGCCGAATCAACGTAAACAGTTGTCCCTCTTAAACCGTGTGAAGTGTTGTTAGTAACTTTATATCTTATTGAGCTGATAAGCGCAACATAAATGAACTGTGATATTTATTAACGGAGTTCGTTTTTTCTTCAGTCTCAGCTTTTCGGCAGTCGTTGTTTTCTGTCCTAAAAGTTGATGTTTCTTTACAAAAGGTTGAGTCTTTGCGGTTGTCTTACACGCCGAATCAAAGTACACTGTTATCACTCTTAAACCGTGTGAAGTGTTGTGAATAACTTTATATATTATTTCACTGATAAACGCAACAAATCTAACTGCGAGATTTATTAACGGAGTTCGTTTTTTATTCAGTCTCTCTGCTTTTCGGCTTCTGCTAGATTACTGGAAGCTACAACAAACACCCGTACTGGTGTCTTGTGTCTCATAAACAAGTTAATAATCACGATACAGACTGTTTCATGGATACTGGCGGTATTTATGAGCACACCACCGTAATGCCCCGTTTAATCCAGCCTCTCCTGCAGAACACCATCTGACAAATCTCTGTTTTAGCCCTGATTCATCAAAAGCTCCTCCTGACGCCGAGTTACAGTACAGAAAGAAACTGTTAACTACCAACAGCTGTTAAATACAGTTTAAATAAATCATTAAGTCTCTCGGTACCGGCCACAGTTCAGTCAGGACCGGTTCACCTGTCCCACCTGGTGAACACATGGAGCAGTACAGTATTCTGGGTCGGGTCGGAGAAGGAGCCCACGGCATCGTCTTCAAGGCCAAACACATCGAGGTAACTCAGCTGGTCCACGACACCAACTTTACCAACCAGCTGAAAGCATCACTTCCCTGTTATCTACAACTGATCATCGACTAATCGTTTCAAACATTTTTAAAGCATAAAATGTGTTTTTTTTTGTCTTATATGATCATATTTAATATTTTTGGCTCTTGGTCAGACAACAGACGAACCTCCTGACAGTCTGAAGCCTTTTATTCTGAAAAGCACAGTAAATAAAGCTGTGTGCGTGTTTGGTAGATTGGGTTTTCAGTACTGAATGTATTGATTGATGTATTGATCGTTTTGCTGTCAGACGGGAGAGACGGTGGCTCTGAAGAAAGTGGCTCTGAGGAGGCTGGAGGACGGCATCCCCAACCAGGCTCTGAGGGAGATCAAGGCCCTGCAGGAGATCGAGGACAACCAGCATGTGAGTGGGTCAGAGGGTCAGTGAGGGTCAGAGGTCAGAGGTCAGCCTCACACTCCTCCTCCTCCTCAGGTGGTGAAGCTGAAGGACGTCTTCCCTCACGGTACGGGCTTCGTCCTGGTGTTTGACTTCATGCTCTCTGACCTCTCTGAGGTCATCAGGAACTCTGAGCGACCTCTGACCCCGGCCCAGGTCAAAGGTTACATGATGATGCTGCTGAAGGGCGTGGCCTTCCTGCATCACAACGACATCATGCACCGGGTGAGTCTGCCCCCCCCCCCCTCACACACACCTGTTCTCCCCTCCCTCTGTGACACACTCAGGCGTTGCCTTCACAGGCAGCAGGAAACTTCAGACTCCTGTTTTATCATGTTCACCTCTGTCGCACGACTAATGCTGGTAAACTGTGATGCAGTGCATTGTGGGATTGTTCTGCGAGGAATTACACTCAGAGGCCCAAGTGTTCACAGTGAGTCAGGATGTTTACATCAGGCAGCCGTTCCCTTCAGTGCATTAAGTAATAAAAATGTAAAAGTGTGCAACATGTTTGAGCGTCTTGAAGGTGACGTGAGAATGTCGTCCTGTTCGCAGCTCTCACTCTGTCCCTCGCCAGGGGAGGTCTTAAGTCTGTGAGGGTCCAGGGTTTAGGGGGGACATTGGGATTGGGCCAGAGACTCTCCTCTTGTTCCTGTAGCCCTTCAGAATAAAAGCCCTGATTTGTGTGTGTGTGTAGGACCTGAAGCCAGCGAACCTCCTCATCAGCTCCTCGGGTCACCTGAAGATCGCAGACTTCGGTTTGGCTCGACTGTTCAGCGATCAGGGAGGCAGGCTGTACAGCCACCAGGTGGCCACCAGGTAACACTTTATATCATCATTATATTCAGATCAACTTTTTACCCCTAACTGAAACATTTAGGGCCGTAAAAAAACCTACAATGCCGTTTTCCCCATTTTAGCTGATAAATGCTACAAGGTGCTGTTTAATTTTAATTGAACGTTGTTTAACAAATGCACGAGTGTTATTCCTGTCATCACAGTGCTAAAAATAAATGCAGTAATGTAAACGTGAGGTCAGGGCTCACTGTGATTACAGCATCAGGACCTCTGCGTGCTCCCACAACTCTGTTTGCTAAATCTAAGCTGTGTAAACTCCCTCAGCTGATCCGGAGGGAGTTTACACACGGTGCTCTCGCCGACCTCCTTGCTATTAAAGTCCCGGCTCTGGTACAGGCGGCGCGGCAGATGGAAGCGTGCGTCAGTGGTTCGTTTCTAAAGTCAGGGTTTACCTGGAGGAAGAGCAGACGTTACCACGACTGTGTGTGTGTTCAGGTGGTACAGAGCTCCTGAGCTGCTCTATGGAGCCAGGAAGTACGACGAGGGAGTCGACCTGTGGTGAGAATACTACAACTACTCATCTAAATACTGAGAATAGTACTACTAAAACGTCCACCGCCTGGGGCCACAGCTAGATCCAGCGCTCACATATATTTGAGATATTAGTTGGTGCCTGGTAGCGCAGCAGCAGAAGCTTCTTCTGTAATGTCCAGATCCTTTTTAGCCTCTCTAACACTGATTGTAGTCTGGCTCTGCACGCTGGTGTCCTCAGAGACGTCTGTCCAACACCTGTACAGAAACCTGTGTTAAGTAAAGGAAGACATGCCGTAGTGCAGTGCTGTGAGCAGCAGGGGGCAGCGTCAGTCTCAAGTGTGTGTTTCAGGGCCGTGGGCTGCATTTTCGGGGAGCTGCTGAACTCGTCTCCTCTGTTTCCTGGAGAGAACGACATTGAGCAGCTCTGCTGTGTCCTCAGAGTGCTGGGAACCCCGACCCCGGACAGCTGGCCTGTAAGACACACTCACACTCACACACACAGCATTGTGTCGCTATCTTCTGGGGCCCCTAAGGGCCCTTTCAGATAGGATGTGATTTGCACCGCAGTTGTTGCTGAATTCAGTGCAAAAGTTCAAATACCATAAAACTCGAGTTGCCGCCTCCCGTTTCCCGGCCTGCTGTGGGAACACGTTCTGACTAATGAACGCAGGTCTCCATTAGAAGCCTGGTCTGGTTTCTATAGAAGTTCTCTGGACGTCTAAAAGCCGTTAAACCCCGCGGGGTCGCCGCTCAGATCGTTGATACAAATATTAATGTTCCTGATCAGTGAGCCCCAAAGTCTGATTCTTTTACCGCCGTAACCTGCCCGGTACAAGAGAAAAGTGGCGCCTCCCGTCACCTCTGAAGCGCTCGTTCAGTTTGAATGTGTCGTTCCTGATTATTTATCTTCCTTCAGTCTGGGAGGCTCCACCCATCAAAAGAACCAGAATCCAGGCTGTGAATCCTGTCCTGTGAAGTCCGTCGCTCTCTGTCTGCTAACTTCTCTGATCCTGCAGCCTGCTGCCTTCAAAATAAAAGCGCCGTCTGTCGGAGCTAGATCAAATGAAGGACGTGTATTCGATATTATTTTTATACAAATAATCTGTTATAAATAAATAAACTGTTTCACAGCAGCTTGTTTCAGTGAGAGGAGTTAAAGGCCCGTCCCAAATAAAAGCCTGTTCATAGAGTTTTATGGTATTTTGAACTTTGACCGTGGCGTGCGAGCAAGCTCACCAAGCGGGGCGCTGTACATTGCTCAACAGTGCCGTCGTTACGATGCGTCTTAAAGGCAAAGTCTTAGGCTGCGTTCCGGTCGCCCTGTACTTCCCCGCTAAGTGCACTGCGCAGGGTGTTCGGCCGTTTTAAGTGAGATTCCAACACATGTTCACTTCAAAGGGCAGCGTGAACTGTGTAGGGAAGAAGGGAACAACGGTTCATCACTACGCAGGACGTTGTCAAGAAAGATTACCCATAAGCCTTTGCGCCTCATAGGAGCTAAGAATAGAGCAGACCACAGAGTTTGTATATCTGTAATTATTGTCGTTGTAATTAATCTTATCATTATTTAAATGATTATTTCAGAGGTTAAGTTGCCTAAAAACAACAACGCTCATACGAATCTTTTTAAGAAAGACGCTGCGTGTCTTGTAAATGAATCCAATCACATTCATTCACAAGTTACATTTTAATAGAATACAAATAGAAGAAGTTATGGAAATATAAGTTTTGTAATTGTATCAGTTTGTTTTAATATATATTCAATATTTAATTTCAGTAAATGTCCACAGTAGCGGCGGGTACCCGAGGTGTTTACGTTACCAGGGTAACACACGGCGGGACTGACGTGTGCTTTGATGATGTTGCAGGGTGATCCGAATGGAAGAATTTTGTCGAAGTTCCCTTGACCGATATTCCCTGAGCAGGGAGTCCTGTTTATGTACACTGTGGATCAGAACGCAGCCCTTTAAACTCGGGGGGTCCAGCATTTTGGTCCCCACATGTAGAGTAAAACAAGCCCACACACACTTTTCTTCCATTCAGTTTATAAAGGAAGTCCTCTGTGATCTGGGACGACATCACAGTGTTGACACTCTCTGTCTCTGTGTCTCTCTGTCTCTCTGTCTCTGTGTCTCTTTGTGTCTGTGTCTCTGTCTCTCTCTCTGTGTCTCTCTGTCTCTGTGTCTCTTTGTCTCTGTGTCTTTTGTCCCTTCATGTCTCTGTGTCTTTGTGTCTTCATGTATCTGTGTCTCTTTGTCTCTCTGTCTTTTGTCCCTTCGTGTCTCTGTCTCTTTCTGTGTCTTTTGTCCCTTAATGTCTCTGTCTCTCTCTGTGTCTTTTGTCCCTTCATGTCTCTGTGTCTCTGTGTCTTTTGTCCCTTCGTGTCTCTGTCTCTTTCTGTGTCTTTTGTCCCTTAATGTCTCTGTCTCTCTCTGTGTCTTTTGTCCCTTCGTGTCTGTCTCTCTCTGTGTCTTTTGTCCCTTAATGTTTCTGTGTCTTTTGTCCCTTCATGTCTGTGTCTCTGTGTCTTTTGTCCCTTCATGTCTCTGTGTCTCTGTGTCTTTTGTCCCTTCGTGTCTCTGTCTCTCTCTGTGTCTTTTGTCCCTTCGTGTCTGTCTCTCTCTGTGTCTTTTGTCCCTTAATGTTTCTGTGTCTTTTGTCCCTTAATGTCTCTGTCTCTCTCTGTGTCTTTTGTCCCTTCGTGTCTGTCTCTCTCTGTGTCTTTTGTCCCTTAATGTTTCTGTGTCTTTTGTCCCTTCATGTCTGTGTCTCTGTGTCCAGGAGATAGTCGAGTTGCCAGATTACAATAAAATCACCTTTAAGGAGAATCCAGCGATCCCATTGGAGGAGATCGTCCCTGACACGTCCCCTCAGGCCGTCGACCTGCTCTACAAGTTCCTGGTCTACCCGTCCAAACAACGCTGCTCCGCCAGAGAGGTAGGAAACAGGAAGTGGACTAGTGGTCTCTGCTGGTGGGGCAGGGAGTGTATCATTGGATTGCATCATGGGAAATGTAGGATCCAGTGTTTTCTGGAGTCTGATCAACACCAGAGCTGAGGTGCGTTCGAGGTGACTGCGGCTGACTTTCGATTGTCAAACGTGAGCTGCAGGCGACTGCAGGGGCGGGACACATTCTACCTGCGTGAGCTGAGATCACCGACTGATCAGGCAAGCGTGACTCCAGCGAGGTTTTAATGTCATGTGACATGGTGACGTTTCGCAGCGCCGGCAAAACATTTCTAACCAGCATGCCTCATTTTAAGTCCAGCACGCATCACGCTAAGTTGGCGCTGCGCAGCGCCGCGTGAAGTCAAGCGTCTCTCCTCCTCTGCTGCTCAGATCCGGACTGTTAATCAGACCGCTGTCACTGTGACTCGTCATTTTCTTTACTTGTTCTTAAAGTTCTTGTGTTTTACTTCAGTTCTCAGCTGCGTTTTATTCACCTTATTGTTCATTTTGAATCTGAATGTATTTCTGTCTTTGTGCTGCTGCAGCAACTGAACTTCCCCTCTGGGGTCCTTAAAGGTTTCATCTTATCTCAGTGGATCAATGCATGAACTGTGTTTCTGCAAAGACACACCTGCAGCTCACTGATTGGTTGATTGACAGCTGATCGGCGGTCTTCCTGTCCTCCTCAGGCTCTCCTCCATCCATTCTTCTTCTCCTCTCCACTTCCTGCTCACCACTCAGAGCTGCCCATCCCTCAGAGGGGGGGCCGACCCCCCCGCCAGCGTCTGCAGGCTCCGCCCACTGACTTCTCGGTGGACCTGCCCCTGCAGAGCAGCGTGGTAGACCCTGTGCTGCTGAGGGGACACGCCTGCTGCCTCTGAACGACCGACCGACCGACCAATCAGCTTCCTCCTTCAGTGACGCTCTGCTGACTCGTCACGCTAAACAAATGTTCGCTCTCAAGCAAGAATAAATTCTTTCTGAATAAAAATGTACGTTTTCAGTTATTACTGATCAGAGCGGACGAAACGTCCAGCGCCTCGTCTCTGCACTGACTGAACCACCTGGAGCTCTGTCTGGACGTCCTCGCCGCTCCGGGCTGCATGGCCACGTTTCTGAAACCAGGATCCAGAAGTATTCAAATCATTTACTTAAGTACAAGTACTAACACCACACTAGAACAGTACTCCAAGTAAAAGTCATTCAACATTTCACCTGAGTAAAGGTAAAACGCTTTCAGCAACAAAGTGTTGAAGTAAAAGTACTTAGATGTAAGCAGTACTTTAATGCTGTAGTTGTTTGAGGTGGATCTACTTTTAGCTACATGTACTGCTGGGTACTTTAATTCATCATATTTTATTTAAATGTTCGTGTTTTCTAAAAGTTTCACCTGAAAAGTAACTAAGTGTTAAATAAATGCAGCGCAGTAGAAAGTACAACGTAGCCTCTGAGTAGTATGTGTTGGAGTAGAACCTCAGATAGTAAATGTAAACACAAGGGTTTGAATAAACGCTCAACGACTTCTCTGTATCAGATAATGAATCAAACAAAAATCAGTTCCTGTAGTTGAGAGAATGAAGGAACCAGGAGGTGCCGCCTCCTTGGCTTCCTGTTCGTCCTGCTGTGGCAGCAGCAGCAGTCAGAGAGAAGGGGAGTCCGGAGAGAGAGCAGCGCTTCACTCTGTGAGTATCACCGTCTCTTTACTGCGCCTCCTCCTGCAGCTCCGGCCGGCTGCAAACTGCCCGTGTGGCTTTAAATCATTTTTCCGATGATGTTGGACAATTTATCTTTTATCTCTTTTTACTTTTGTTAATTATAGATTTATAAACCACAAAACTTCAATAAACCCCCCCGGGCTTTTATTTGGGACAAACCTTTAAATCCTTTCAAACTCTCACTCAGCAGAGATGTGAAACAGGCTGCGATCAAACTGAGTATTACTATTATTAAACTGATTATCTTATTCTACCTCTCAATGTAACATAATCTCTTAATGTTCCTTTAGTATAATGTTATAACTCACTTAAATGGCCTCCATCAATAGAAGGAGACTCATTGGCTGCGGCTCATCATCATTACCTACAACAGTGTTTGGTTCTGTATTCCTCAATATATAATTTGAGGCATTGTGCACAAAACTCTTCTTTTCCACTCCTGCAGTCAGGAAAGAGTTTAGGTTTCTGTTTAAGGCTCCTTCAGATGGAAGAACTTACCTTCAAACGTACGAAGCCCTTTGTGAAACACATGTTTAACAAACGGTTTGTCTTCTTATTTTGAGTTAAAGTGTTCATGTTTCAGATGCTGATTCATATACAGTTCTCAGACTTTTAATATTCTTTATTCTCTAGTATGGATTCACCTGTGAACTGTGTTTGCCTGGTAAGATGTTGATTGTTGTTTTGTGTTTGTCTTTCTTGTTGTTGTAATGTCTTTAAATCGTCTCTTGTTTCTTATATTTTATGTTTGGACCCCGTCGGTTTATCCAGTAGAATAAAGGCTGACTTGTTTCTGTAAAATGAATCTAACTGATGTGTAGCACATATCCCTGCTGACAACAGGGACACTTTTGTATCCAGAGAAGTTCAATAAAAATCAGACCAGGCTTCTAATTGAGACGTCCGTTTATTTGTCCAAGACCTGCAGCCACACCAGGCCAGTAAACGAGACCGGCGTCTAACTGGGACTCTGCTTCTCACCCCGTCTCACGTTTCTTTCCTTCCTCGCAGACACGCGGTGATGATGTCAGATTATTCGCAGCCGGCCGATTGGTCCTCTGCTGTCAAGCCATCTCAAGCTGAAACATCGTGGTTCAACGCGAAGGTCAGAGTCACTCCTTTCTTATCCCCCCTGCTCTGTACGCTGCTACTCACCAGGGGCAAGTTCAGCGCAGACAAAACAACACACCTTGAACTCCCCATTTTTCTGCCTTTTTAACGCCGTTGTGTTTACAAACTTATCACAGCTGACACCTGGGACACGCCCACCAAACGGAACATTTCGCGGAAATGTGTCGCTCAATCCGAAAACGTTTTGAGATTGAACTCGCCTCAGACCTCCACTGGTTTCATTCAGCTGCACAAAGTTTGTGCCACGTGACATTAATCCCACCGGGCAACACACACTGATTGATCTTTCAATCAACAAGCCAATAGCCCTGATCCCTATGAACCTAACGAACCATCGCACTCCCCTCTGTGCCGTTACAGTGATCCACGACAGCATTATCTTTAGTGAACGATTCACCTTCTAGTAGTTGACCTTTGACCCCACTGAGTCAGAACGGTCAGTGAGTTTGATTTGAGTAAAGGTTAGTTTACCTTAATCTGCCTTGTTGCTTCTCCTGTGTTAATTACTCCTCCTCCCAGACGTCATTGATTAGTTCACCTTCACATTTCTAATAATCTGCATTTCTCTTCGGTTTCATGGGGAACAGTTTTGTTTCTGCTTTATAACATCGAACCCAAGAATCACCTCTAATTTCCTCGATACAGATATTGATAGTTTTGTTGTTGTATAAAAATTGTAAAACTCAACGCGCAGCTGCGACTGCTGGTTTGAGGCCTCGGCGACGTTAAGAGAGAAAAAACAAATGCACCTCGGAGACTCTCGTGCTTCTTCTTCTTCTTCTTCTGTTGTAAATAAACACAAATACATTTAATGCCTCTCACAGGTTAGCCCCGCCCCTTCGTACACCTTCCTCCAATCATCAAACATGTCCCATGAGGCCAAGCGGCTGACTGCCACCAGTCAACAGTTCATCACTTCCTCCCACTGGCTGGACGAATCCAGCTGTCAATCACTGAGCTCTGCTTATATCCCGCCTCCTGCTTCCTCGTCTTTGTACGGTAATCCCGCTTTGACCACGCCCCCCACCTGCCTCCTCTCCTCAACACCTGAATGGACCAGTCACTATGGAAACCTTTACCCCTCCCCCTCTAGTGATTGTGCGGTACCTGGCCGTCTGTCCTGGGGGCAGGGCAGTGAACCAGGTGAGGTGTCTGTCTGTCTGAGCTGCAGCTGTCTGCTGTGTGTCGGAGGATGTTTCATGTTGTTGTTGGTGTGTGTGTTCAGAGCAGCGCGAGTGTGTGCGCTGTGGGACGAGCAGCGCCCCCCTGTGGAGGAGAGACGCTGCAGGCGGTCACCTGTGCAACACCTGCAGCCTCCGCCAGAAACCAGACAGACCACTGCTGAGCCCGAAGAGGAGAGACGTGAGACACACAAACACACACCTGTACCTCTATCACACAGGTGCAGAGATGAAGGTGCAGAAGGACACAGTGTGGGAGTAGCAGCAGTTAGCATTCAGGCTAATTGTTGACAAACTAACATCTCTGAAATACCTTTAATTTACCCAAAGCCCCCCACTCACTGCATCCTGTCTTCGTGCTAAGCTAGGCTAGTAGTTTCCCCTGCTTCCAGTCTTTCTGCTAAGCTAGGCTAGTAGTCCCTGCTTCCAGGCTTTCTGCTAAGCTAGGCTAGTAGTTCCCCCTGCTTCCAGGCTTTCTGCTAAGCTAGGCTAACAGTTTCCCCTGCTTCCAGTCTTTCTGCTAAGCTAGGCTAGTAGTTTCCCCTGCTTCCAGGCTTTCTGCTAAGCTAGGCTAGTAGTTTCCCCTGCTTCCAGGCTTTCTGCTAAGCTAGGCTAATAGTTTCCCCTGCTTCCAGGCTTTCTGCTAAGCTAGGCTAACAGTTTCCCCTGCTTCCAGGCTTTCTGCTAAGCTAGGCTAGTAGTTTCCCCTGCTTCCAGGCTTTCTGCTAAGCTAGGCTAACAGTTTCCCCTGCTTCCAGGCTTTCTGCTAAGCTAGGCTAGTAGTTTCCCCTGTTTCCAGGCTTTCTGCTAAGCTAGGCTAGTAGTTTCCCCTGCTTCCAGGCTTTCTGCTAAGCTAGGCTAACAGTTTCCCCTGCTTCCAGGCTTTCTGCTAAGCTAGGCTAACAGTTTCCCCTGCTTCCAGGCTTTCTGCTAAGCTAGGCTAACAGTTTCCCCTGCTTCCAGTCTTTCTGCTAAGCTAGGCTAACAGTTTCCCCTGCTTCCAGTCTTTCTGCTAAGCTAGGCTAACAGTTTCCCCTGCTTCCAGGCTTTCTGCTAAGCTAGGCTAGTAGTTTCCCCTGCTTCCAGGCTTTCGGCTAAGCTAGGCTAGTAGTTTCCCCTGCTTCCAGGCTTTCTGCTAAGCTAGGCTAACAGTTTCCCCTGCTTCCAGTCTTTCTGCTAAGCTAGGCTAGTAGTTTCCCCTGCTTCCAGGCTTTCTGCTAAGCTAGGCTAGTAGTTTCCCCTGCTTCCAGGCTTTCTGCTAAGCTAGGCTAGTAGTTTCCCCTGCTTCCAGGCTTTCTGCTAAGCTAGGCTAGTAGTTTCCCCTGCTTCCAGGCTTTCTGCTAAGCTAGGCTAAACACGTCCTGGAGTGAGAACTTACTGATGTTTTTAATATTTCTGTGTTTTCAGGCTGCGACTCCGAGGAAAGGAACTCTGTGTGTGAACTGTTCTACTGCGACGACGACGCTGTGGAGGAGAACCTCTGCTGGAGAACCCGTCTGCAACGCCTGTGGGCTCTACTACAAACTACACCAGGTACTACAGCTCTACTACAAAATACACCAATAGTCTGTTCTTCACAAACACCAAGAATAGCAGGTACTACAACAGTAGTACAAAGTACAGCAGGTAGTAAAACTTTACTACAAAGAACAGCAGATACTACAGATGTAGTACAAAGTACAGCAGGTAGTAAAACTTTACTACAAAGTACAGCAGGTACCACAGATGTCCGCTCGTGTGCTTCAGGTCAACCGGCCGCTGGCGATGAAGAAAGACAGAATCCAGACCAGAAACCGCAGAGTGACCAATCAGAACAAGAGGAGCAGGAAAGCTGACCAATCAGAGACTAAGCTGCCTGTGCTGGTCCCGCCCACCCAAGAGGCCGTGTGTCAGTCCTTCAGTCAGCTGCCCTGTGACCTCCACACCTCCTCCTCTCTGCTCACCATGTAAACTGCTTTGTGTTTTCTAATAAACGTGTGAACCTGCCAGCCGGTGAACTGAGTCTTTCATCAACACAAACATCAGCAGCTTCAATGTTGGAAGGTTTCAGGTATGTTCAGACAGGTGTGTTCAACACAGTCAACGTGGCCCCTGAGCTCCTCCTCCTCCAGCTCTCCTTCAGCTTCATTTCCTCTTTGTGACGATCAGACGGTCGACGAGGTGAAATAAACGTCCTGATGTTTCCTAAAAAGTGTTGGAGGGACTGTTTGTAAGAAAGGAGGCGCGTTACAGCTGACGCGATCCTGCCAGGCAGCGTTGAGCTAAAACGCCACGTCAACATCAGATTGCACACAGAGAACTCACGTTTCCACTGCTGCTGTGGGAACATGTAGAACTCAGAGGTAGAACCATGTTGACACGCTGACTCAAAGCGAGATCATAGCCTGTAGCGGCAGCTTGGCGTTTTCAGCCACGGCACAGCATTCACATTTAGTGTCCTGCTCAGGGACACGTTGATCGCAGTAGGAATCGGACTGGTCTGTGTGTCTTATCCACTGCTCCATCACAGCTCTGAGTTCTGGATTCTGCAGCAGGTTACCAGCCGGCAGCTGGGGCTCCTCCAGTCTGCACGTCGATCAGTCCTTGGGCCAGATCCTGATCCCAAACTGCTCGCCGTCGCTGGGTGAATGTAAATTTCTGTTTCTGGTGAGCAGCTGGCTGTTTGAATCTGTGGTTGTAATGTAGAGTAAAAGCACTTTGAGTGGTCGGGGTGTCTAGAAAGGAGTTCTACAAGTACAGCTCGCTGCCGTTAATGCACCGCAGAAGAAGAAGACACAATATCCAGTAGTAGTGGTACAGAAAATTAATAATGGTCCTAATAAGAACAGCAACACTAATCCTAATAATAATGATTTTAGCAGCGGGAGTTGAGTAGGAACAGCAGGAAGCCTGCAACCACAGATCCAGACTCCACAGATCCAGACACACCTGCAGAAAGTGACAGGAGGAGAGAGGAGCTCAGTGCATCATGGGAAGTCCCCCGGCAGTCTAGGCCTACAGCAGCATAACTAAGTAACTATAGGATTCAAACTGTTTATTGTCAGATGTTTCCCTGTACAGGGAAATTCTTACCTTGCTGTCCACATCAAATGCCTACAATAAAATATATGTATAAATAAAATACAATAAAAACATGATAAACAGAACTGAGATATAAAATCTTCAAATTTAAATGTAAATCATGTAAAATGTAAAAAAAAGAAATAAAATTGTGCGTGGAGCAATGTGCAGATGTGCAATTAACATGTTTAGAGTTTGGCATGAGTCGTGTAGTCCTACATTTCACACTTCTGTACCTCCAACCCGACGGTAGAAGTACAGCCGCTGTGTGGCGTTCAGCGTCCACGTGAGGTCGTCGCTGATGTGGTCGCCCAGATATCTGAGGCTGCCCAGCCTCTCTACCTCAAGCTCCCGGATGAACGGCGACCGATGAGGTCTCTCCTTCCTCCACCATTACCTCCTTTGTCTTTTCCCTCCTTTAGGCCGCTTCATCCTCACCACTGACACGTCCCAACGCTGCGTGGCGTCCGCGAACTTCAGTACGATGTTGTCCTGAGTGAACAGGGTGCAGAGGATGAGGACGCATCCCTGTGGAGTGTTTGTTATAATGCTGGCTGAGGTTCTGCTCCCCATCCTGACAGACCTGCCAGTCAGAAAGTCCAGGACCCAGAGTGTGGGGTGCAGCCCAGGGGCAGACTGTGTTAAAAGCAGAGCTGAAGTCAACAAAGAGCATCCTGATGTAGGAGTCTTTGTTTTCCAGGTGTGAGAGGGAGTAATGGAGGGCAGCGGCGATGGCGTCGGAGGCTGGCCTGTTGGGCCAGTAGGCTGCTGCATCCGGTCCAGGGTGTCCGGTATTGTGCTCTGAATGTGGGCCAGCACCACTCTCTCAAAGCACTTCATTTATTTTATTTATAGAGTTTAAGTTTACAGAGACAGTGCACATTTCTGTAAATGTGCCCTGGGCAGCTGTTATCACAACTACATTAAATGCACTAAAACAGGAACAACAGTACTCATAATTATAATATGACACCTTTCACAAGGACACGTAAAATACTTTAAAACAAGGACAACAATTTAAAAAACAAAACAAAGCACTCTCCAGGTTTCTGAATAATTCACAGACTATGGTCGCACACTTGATTGACTTTTAACCATGATTTTACATTTAATTTAAATGAATAATATGTTTCACAATCTCTAATAACAGCTGGCAGACTATTCCATGTGTGAGCTGCTCTCACTGACAAAGCTGACTGTCCGGCAGTCCTCCTCATAGGTATTATACAGTCTCCCGACCGAGTGTCTCTTATCGGTTGTTTTGTGCTTTATAAAAGCAGCAAGAGGGGGAGGAGCCAAGCCATGCAGGATCTTATAGATAAGACAAGCATCTGTAAATTTAACATGAGTCCAGTCAAGCAGCTTGGACGCCTGGTGGTATACTAACTGCACAGGTTTGAGTGTTGTACTGGACGCTTGTGCCCAACTAGTCAAACAGTATGACAAATTTAGCATAATCATAGCATTAAAATATGCTGTTGCTGCCTTAGTAGTTAGACAGTTTCTGGTATGGTGAAAGTGTGACAGATTAAACTTAACTGTATTTATTAACTTCTTAATTTGTTTGAAATGTAAGATTGGAATCAATTATTACACCAAGATATTTAAAATCAGAAACCACTGTCAGCTTTTCCCCTGCAATGTAAATATTGGGTGTGCGATCATCTACAGACCTCTTTGTTAGGAAAATCCAAGCCGTTTTCTTTGTGTTTAAATGAAGACAGGAGTTATTAAGCCACTGTGTGACATTGGCCATCACTGCCGTGAGCTAACATGCAGCTTGCTGTTTGTTTGTCGCGTGTACATAAATGACAGTATCATCAGCATACATTTGAATTTCAGACTCATTGCATACAAGGTCATATGTATGTAAAGGCTAAACAACAGGGGCCCCAGAATTGATCCCTGAGGTACACCAACACCACACTCGAGGACTGATGACACCTCATCATTGACCTTCACCCGCTGTGCTCTGCCTTCAAGATATATGATTGCATCCGTTTAATCATGATCCACAGTGTCAAATACTTTCTTTAGGTCTAAGAATATGGCCCCAACAACTCCCACTTTATCTAGTTTAGATCCCACATTCTCAAAGAAAAAGCAGTTTGCCGTTTCCGTTGAATGGTTCCATCTAAAGCCAAACTACATGGGATGCAATCTGAAAGGGCTGTTGTTAGGCTGGCTAAGTTATTCTGCTACATACCTACTGACTAGTGACTGACCATTATGAGTAGAAGCTTTATCAAAGAGGAAAGTCTTAAATGTGGAGATGGTGTCTGCCTCCTGAACTCAAACCGGAACCTGGTTCCACAGGAGAGGAGCTTGATAGCTGAACGAACTGATTCAGCCCGATATTAAAGAGCAGGTTTGAAGCAGCGAGGTGACGTCTTTAGAAGAGCTGCAGATGGAGACCCCGGTGTGGTGTCATGTGAGGAAGGTTTCAGAGGCCTGTAAGAGGACATCATGTGTTGAAGAAGCAGACAGTAAAGGCCCCCCCCCCCCCCCCCCCCCAGAGCCACCTGCCTGCTGGAGGCCGATGTTGTGCAACTCAGGAGGCTTCTGGTTTTCCGGACCCATAAAAAAAAGGCCAAGAGAGGAAAAGGGAGCTGAGCAGAGGGCGGTTGGTGGTCGGAAGCCGGCCAGAGGCTCGCTGCCTCTCTCCACCACTCTCTCTCTCTCTGAGGCGTCCAGTGATGTCACAGGGCTGCTGACAGATGAAACGAGCAGATTAGCAACCACAACACACACACCTAAATATATATTTATATATACAGAGTCGGGGGCGACCGTTTGTCGTTGGAGCTGCCATCACACACAGTTTACATGTCGACATCTTCTTTCCTCTGAAGACCTCAAACACGCACACGCGCTGGACTGTGTGTGTGTGTTTGCCTTCAGCTGGTCCAATCAGAGCCCTGGACAGGTTAGGGTCGCGGTCCTGAGCCCAGCAGGCCCGATCAGTAACCCAGAACAGGACAGAGCAGCTAAACCAGCTCTGCTCTCTCCCTGCTGAGTCCAACAGAACCAGGACCAGCACGGAATCCTCCTGAATCTTTCTTTGGATCCCGATCAGCTTCCACCTGTTCTCCACAAACACAACAAGACAAAACAAACATCAGCAAATCAGTTAAAGAAGTCCGACACAGATTAAAGGACCCTTCCTGCCTGTTTGAGCCTGTTTCCACATGTTGGTGCTGAAATGACTCGTAGCTACAGAAAGTTTTGGATCCGTGCAGCAGAAGCTCCGGCCGGCTGCAGCGTATTACTTCCTGTCAACGTGGCGTCCACAGAGAGAGCTTGTTGCCAGCGACAGACTCAGACTGCTCCACCAGGGCCCGACACATTCTGCTGTGTTCAGATTAATCCTCTGCCTGTTCTGGAGTTTCATTCTTGTCTGCCTGGTGTCACTTATTTACCTCTCCTAGTCAGATTGTTCTGTGATTCTGGTTTCAGTCCGTGTTTTATCTGGTTTTGATCTGTCTGCTTGTTTTCACGTGTGGGTTTGTTAGTAGTTCTGTTAGTTTGGGCCTGTTTGATGTTTCAGTCAGTTCCTGTCTCGTCAGTCCTGGTCCCTGTCACCTGAGTTGCTCCCGCCTGTCTCGTCAGTCCTGGTCCCTGTCACCTGAGTTGTTCCCGCCTGTCTCGTCAGTCCTGGTCCCTGTCACCTGAGTTACTCCCGCCTGACTCGTCAGTCCTGGTCCCTGTCACCTGAGTTGTTCCCGCCTGTCTCGTCAGTCCTGGTCCCTGTCACCTGAGTTACTCCCGCCTGTCTCGTCAGTCCTGGTCCCTGTCACCTGAGTTGTTCCCGCCTGACTCGTCAGTCCTGGTCCCTGTCACCTGAGTTACTCCCGCCTGACTCGTCAGTCCTGGTCCCTGTCACCTGAGTTGCTCCCGCCTGACTCGTCAGTCCTGGTCCCTGTCACCT